TCGAGCACTACCTGGACAAGCATGACCCGTGCCGGTGCAAAGCAGGTGAGCCCTCGCGAGGCGCAGGAAGCGGCAGATCGGCCGCCGGCGTACCAGCTCCCCGACCCGTCCACGCGACGCGGCACGGCCGGGAGGCCTCGCCAGGCGGGCTGGGAACCGTTTTGCGGTGAAAACGCAGAGCCGGACAAAGGCTGGCCGCAGTGGGTTAATCTTTAGTGGCTGCGCTCCAGTTGGTCGCGCGACAGCGACAGCGGTTTCATTAGGCTGATTTCTTGCGCGGCCACCGTCGGGCTTTGTGCCCGTTCGCATGCAGCGGCTGTAAAACATGTCATGTTTCGCGGACGGGCGTGCTCGCTCGCATGCGGACAGACCCGCTCGCCGGCAGCGTGAATTGATTACCGGCTGGCTCCGCCCCCCCCCCCCCTGCGCAGCCGGGGCGCGCCGGCAGCATTCGCCCGTCATATCCCGCGTGGAGGACGGCGTGCTCTATTTTCCGGCGACCTCGTCCGGCCTGCAAACTCACACATGGGCTGCGGAATCGCCGCATGTGTGGGGCTCACCAGCGCCGTTATGCTTTGAGCGGCGCCAGGTTATGGGGTGGGTCATATGGACTGGAGTCTATTCGCTGGCGAAAGGTCCCGGCCCACATCACGCCTGTGAAGTGTAAAGGGTAATTAATGCCCACTGTCGGCGAGTGGGCGGCCGACAGCCCCGCCGTGTGGATCATGACAGCGCGGGATGTGGTGGCCATTACGAGCGTGAATACCTGCATGTGTGGCCGCCGCCCGCGGTCACCGACCCGGCGACGACCAGGCCGCCGGGCCGGGGCGCACGTGCCCCGCAGCGGTCCGGACGCCGACCCCAGGTCTGGCTCGTCGGAGGACGGAGCGGGACGACGACCGCGGCCACTGCGTGATCACATGCCCGCCGTCGGCAGGGCACCGCACCGCGATCGCGTCCAGGCTGTTCATGAAGAGCGGGCCGCACGACGGCGAGCGCCAGCTGTCCGGGGTCAAATACGAACGGTGAGTGCGCGGCGCCGGCCGCGACATCCGTTCGCTGACGGGTCAGTCGGGGCCAGGCCGCCGGTGTGCTGGCGACCGTGTAGCGCCCGCAGCTGCATCGGGTGTCAAGTGGGTGGCGTGTGGTAGATTCCCGTCTTCCGATTTAGGACGGTCGTGCAGGCGGCACAAGATGTCCTGTGTCCTGAGTGGAGTGCAAAATGAGCTCCGGTGCAGTTAATATCCCTCACGCTAATGCGAGGAGGTAACTGATCCTGGCACTAATGATGGGTGAGCAGAGATGACGAGGCATAGCTGCCGTTCCAGAGCGAAGGGCTGATGGTTAGCGATCGACGGGGCATTAGTGCCGGCTCGCTCAGCACGTCGCTCCAAGTGTGCTCCCCCACCGACCCATGCTGCGAGTGTAAACAGACGGTGCCGGTCGCGTCAGTGCGGTGCGTGGGGCGCGTCAGAGACATCCTCCCAGCGGACGTTCATTTTTAGCCCGCTAGGCTCCCGCGCCGACCTAACGAGTGTGACGATGATGGGCGTAGCACGCTGCCGCCCGTCCTCCATAAACAGGGGGCGAGCGGACGGGTGCAGCGCTCTGCTGTCCCCTCCCCAATCGACAGACTGGGCGCGGGCAGCAGGGACGGGTCCCAGGCCGCTGCCATCCCCGCCACGCCGGCACAAGGAGCTGGGACCAGGGCGACGCTTCAAAACAAACGGCGTTCCTTTCCGGACAACGGAACGATACTGACCTTTTCTGGCCGGCGCATGTCTATGCCCTCCCCCACCCCGACTTAACGAACGATACGACAGCGCAGAGCGACAGCAAAACCAGAGCGCTGACGCTTGGCTGGCCGACAGACTGAACGACAGCGACGCCGACGCCTCCAGCCCGGCGACGGCAGCGGCGCGGACGCCCATCAGCCACCGCAGCTCGCCAGCGCCCAAGCGCCGCTCCGCACACACGCCGCCCGGCAAGCGGCTGTACGAGGAAGCGTCGGGCGACTCCAGCTCCGAGGTCTCCGACGAGGGCTACCGCTCGCAGGGGCCCTGGAAGCTGGCCACCGGGCTCAAGGAGTCCGAGCACATGGGTACGTAACGACAAGGTGCTCGACTCCGCGCCGACGGCGCTGGGCGCACGCGCGACGGCGGGGCGCGCGAGGCATTTCACTTGCTCAGGGCCGTCCCGCTGAAACTAGATATGGGATTCGATAGCCACGCAGCACGTCGCATTTTTACAAAATAACTGTCACCAATCCGCAGGTGAACACGGAGAAAACGCTCGTCGTCAGTGTATTTGAAAACCAGCCTCGCCTACGCCACTATAGACTGAATCTGGGCTTCTTGTTGCCCTTAGCCTTTCCTGCGCTTGGGTCCGGCGCTAGAAGCGGCGGCCGCGCGGCGTCGCTTGTTGCCGCGGGCCGGGCAAGCGCCCCTCGAGCGCCGAGAGGTCGGCGCGCTGCGTCAGCTCCTCGCCCAGCGACCAGTCAGTGGTGAGCTCGCGCCGCCGTCGCTGGTCCTGCTTCGTCTCCGGTAGGCGCACCATGAAGTCCTCCTCGTACTTGGTGCGCTCGGCCTCCTCGCGCGTGCTGCGGTTGCGGTACGTGTCGCTCAGGTCGTGCACCCTCCTCGGGCGTGTCCAGATACTGGCGGCCCAGCTCCTGCATCACCGAACTGCTGAGCGCGCGGCGGCGCGCTGCCGCCAGGCGGCGCTCGCGACGCGACTCGGCCGTCTCGTCGCCGTCGTACGGCACGGCGGCGATGCGCGGCGGCACGTAGAGGGCAGCACCGTCGGACTTCTGGCGGCCGGCACCTGCCGCCGGCTCGTCGCTGTCGCTGCCGCTGCCCGCCTCGTCGTCCAGGCCGGCTGGCTAGGTTGCCCGGCTGCGGCTTGAAGCGCAGCGGGTCGCCCTCGCCCAGCTGGCCGGTGGGTGGCGATGCGCACCAGCTTGTCCACCTGGTAGCGCAGCTTCTGGTCGATGGGTCGGATGCGCTCCAGCACGGTGCGCAACTCCACCAGCCGGTCGACGCTGGCGTCGCCGGCGATCGAGCGGCCGCGCAGCTTCAGTGACATAACCTGCGTCAGGTCGGCCAGGTAGCTCAGCAGCAGGTAGTTCTTCATCTCGAGGAAGCTGAGGCCATGCGCCGTGTCCAGCTGCCCGTCCTTCACCTTGGCGGTCAGGGCGGCCACCAGCGAGCTGGTCTTACCGATGCCGTCGGAGAGGTCGTCTAGCAGCGTCTTGGCGCGGGCCATGTCGGCGCTCGATACATCCTCGACCGCCATGTCTGCAACGAACGCTTCGTTAGCAGTCAGCCATGAGGCATGTCCGCAACGAACGCGAGTCAGCCATGTGCCATGTCTGCAACGAACGCTTCGTTAGCAGTCAGCCACGAGGCATGTCCGCAACGAACGCTTCGTTAGCAGTCAGCCATGAGGCATGTCCGCAACGCACGCGAGTCAGCCATGTGGCATGTCTATTACGAACGCTTCGTTAGCAGTCAGCCATGAGGCATGTCTGCAACGAACGCTTCATTAGAAGTCAGCCATGAGGCTTGCCTGCAACGACGCTTCTTTGGCAGTTAGCCATGAGGCATGTCTGCAACAAACGCTTCGTTAGCAGTCAGCCACGAGGCATGTTTTACACGGATGCCAACGTGCTCTCAGGAATACTGGCGAGGGCATTCGACATGCGCGGGGTGTTACAAGCTTCTAAAAAGCGTCCTCAAAGGGATAAAACGTGTCCGTGGTTTTGGCTAACTCGACGCAAACTAGAGTCATCAACGAGAGGTGTCACCCAGGGCTTCCTCGCGACTACCCCTTTACGAACTTCATTGTTTGAGGCAATGGCTGCGCTTGACTCGTGAAGGCGTTTCGAGGGTCCCGGAACGCCAAATATTTCGTGAACCACAGGTAGTGAGCTTGAATGGATCCTGTTAATATATACAATTAGTATGTGACATAACAGCAATAACTGATCTATGCCACACCCATGCCCGACCATCTGTGGGCGCCCCGTAATCGTCCGCTGCCTTTCAGACCGTCCCGAGTCGAGCCTGACGCACTCGTCCACCGAATCCGGCGAGACGAACCCGGAGCAGCCGGCGTCGCCGACGGGCCGGGCAGCGCCGGGCGCGGCCCGCCTGGCCGGGCGCCGAGCCACCCAAGCCGCCGCGCCGCTCCTTCATCGACACCGGGCGCTGCGCGGCCTCAAGATCCTGCGCCAGCCCAAGAACGAGCGCACCGTGCGCACCGTGCACGCCGCCGCCGCCGGCGCCGTGCGCGGCCGGCCGGCGGATGTCGGCCGACAGTGGCCGGCGCGGTCTGCAGCGCAGCATGTCGGGCGGCAGCGAGGCCGTCCTGCGCGGCTCGTTCCGCACCAACCGCGCCAGCGAGGCGCGCCCTCGCCCGCTGCGGGAAGAAACACGTGGAGCGGCGGCGGCCGGCAGCCGCGCGGAGCGCGCCGCGCTGGGCGCGGACACATTCCGCACGCCGTCGGCCGGCGCCGCGGCGCGCAGCCGCGCCACGTCCGCTTCGCCCGGGCCGCGCCGCCGGCCACCACCGCAGCCGGCCAGCCCCACGCCACCGCGCCGCAAGTACAGCGGCATCCTGGCGCAGCTCATCGACGATCCCAGACATCGACAGCGACGAACGGCTGCTGCGCAAGATGGAGGCGCTGCTGCGGCAGCACAAGGCGTCGCCAGCGGCCGTGACGCCGCCGCCGCCGCCGCCAGCCGGCGTCACACCGCGGAGAGAGGTCGGCAGGTCCCGTATCCCGGCGCCCACCTTCTTCCAGACGCGCTCGCCGACAGAGACGTGCCTGTGAGCGGCTCCATTCCCCCGATGTGATACAGTGTGCCTGAACCGCGCGCCGCCGCGCCGACGCCGTCCGCCATCGCCGGCGCTCGAAGCGGACGGCGGCCGACGAGCGGACCAGGACGGAGGCGGACCACGCGCCAGGCGGCGCGGATGTGCTGCGTGCAATAGAGTATGCTTTTCAGACACTTGGCAAGCGTCCGGTCGCCGGTGACGAGAAATGTTAAACCTTTAACGACTTGTTTTTGGTCCTCTGAATGCGATGTGTTGTTATGGTGCTTGTGTTTTGTACGTATTGTTGCCTTCGCCTTCAGACAACCTGGACACCTCACTCCATAATTTGCGTTTTGAATGACATTCATACCGGTTTAAGTAATTATCGGGGCCAACATTCATTTCGTGGCAGGCGGCGATTCAATTCTGATGCAGAAACGCAACCAAGCCGGTGTTATACCTGCACACTCATTTCGCAACAGAACCGCCATAAGAATGCTTGCACAATTGAGTACGAAAATCGTACGCTTGCAAAACTGCGTACGAAAACAGTGTACTAATCGTATAGGACATGCACTAACGCTTCACACAGGCGGAAGGCCAACCGACAGCGGGAAGCTGTGGTCGGGTTTAAAAGGCGCGGAGTTTCCCGCCTGGCGGGCATGGCCGGCGACGAGCCATCTGTATCAAACCGTTGTCGGCCTTGTGTAGCGTATGTCAAAACCTTCGAGATGCGGGTATGTGTGGTGAAGCGGTGCAGGCCCTGTCCTGCACGCACCGGTACAGGTGCTAGCGGCACCCCGGCCTGCGGTGCCGAGGCCAACCGGACGCTGCTGATCTGTGATTTGACGTGACGGCAGCTGCCCGGACGGCGCGCCCCGGGCGCGAGACGAACTGTAACGACGCGCCGCGCCGCGGTACCACCCGCAAAGTGTGAGCGGAGCCCTGTAAAGCCGACAATAATAAGCATTAGGACGGGATATGTCAAGCAGCGGTGGACACCGTCTGCTTGTGGCCATTGAATTGCATGTGAATATACCGGTAGAGCGCACAAACGTTTAAAACCGTTTGCCCGCAAACGCATGACGTAAGGGAACGTATGAAGTTCTGCGCAAGGCCGTTTAACAATTGCCTTTCGTAAATAAACCATGAAACAGCTTGACAATATTCGCGGCAGCGGTCCATGCACCCAATGAAAGCTGGCCGTGGCGAACACCAGGGGAAGAGAGCAATTGTACAGCTCATCTAACATTCCGCGCAACACGCAGGCGCCCGATCTGACCGAGGGGCTGGCAGTCTTCAGGCCCGGCTGTCATCAACATCCGAGTGTCTCAGCAAACCGCTGTCTGGACGGCAGAGGTAGGCAGCCAGGGTACGCCTTAAATGAATTGGACGTGCCAGGAAAGGCGAATATTGGGACCAGCGCCTCTCTCTTATTAAAAAAAAGAAAGCCACGCACATCGTCGTGGATCCCGTTATGCAGAGCCAGCGACTGCATAGGCAATCATAGCGATGTGAAACGTGAGGGCGAGGGCCATGTGAAACAGGGGCCGTGGCGCAACCGGGTTCGGACTCTAATCCCCACATGGAGGGCAAAGGCGCCAGCCACTCGGCGCTTACGCCCCCAGAGACCGCAATGCTCGACATCACATTGGTCAACACAACACACTCACATCATCACATCACATTGGTCAACGATATAAAGTAAGGAGCGAGACGTCTATAAGTTGAGGACTATTTTAAAAGAAAAGGCATAAATCCCTGATAAATGACGCGACCAGCATCGTATAATGTTTCGGAGTGCTAGCCAAAGTTAAAATTAAGCAACGGCCTAAATATTGTGTTACCCGTATCGCAGCAATCGGGATGAGGGACTGCAGGACCACCATTTTTTTCAGTTATGCATGACGTTATAGTTTTATAGAGCAACAATGCATGCTTACGCGATTTTGGTGTCAGGCTTGTTTTCACCAACTCATGAACGGAACGGCCTTAGAGATCCTTGGTGCAACGTGACCCGCGCAATCCACGTGCAAGATAAGCAGGCTTATGGCAGACAGAAAGGGGCAGAAAGACACTTATGAATAAAACAAAGCATGGTTTTCCAATATTCGAAAACGCAATGAATTAACGATAAAATACTGCAATCAGTAGAGGTACGTACACGTGCGTGCGGATAATACACATGCTGATAGGACAGCAATAATGATATCGGGAGTTATAACATGCTAACTCACAAAGGGACACTGCGGACACTGGACGGAACATTGAAAAGCACCTTGTCGACTATGAGCCCCTGACTGACATAGGGGGCCCCTCTGTGTTGTGAGACTCCGATCAATACCAATCAGGGGCCCCCGCCTTGTCCCTGCTTAAGAAACGGGACCCAGGGTCGGGACCGTCACAGCGCCGACTTTCAGGCGCTGGTGGTCTCTGGCCGAACAGAGGCCTGCATTGCCCAGGCGGTCCACAATCGGTGCAAAAGGCCCTCTGACGGACATTTGAGGTCACCGCACTTGGCATCGGGATTCTTCATGGGATCTGCAGCCGGCACTTCGGACCCTTTAGCATTCCAGTCGGGCCATTGGTCCTCGGTCCCGAGAGGCCCGTCTGACCTCATTTGGGGCCCCTCAAACACAGAGAAAGGCTGAGCCAAATGGCATCGTAATCAAATCCGAATTTGATCGTTGTGTCGTGAATATGACCACATCTCCTGAAGACGTTAGCATCGATCCACCGATCCCCCCTAGAACCAAACATCCGAGACATGAGCAACTCACAAAGAATCCAAACCAAACCAAACAAAACAAACAATAGCAAGCACACAGACAGCAGTTGCATTTCATTTTGCATGCCTCCAGGCTTGTGCTTAACTCTAGCAAAATCAAATCCGATTCCGGAATCAATACCGCTTTAGCCCGTCAGATTCATGTTTCGCGTACCCAATTATTCAGCTGAATCAAATTGATGTTGATATACATAACTAGCAACTAAAGATAGACCCCCAGTCCCTGCCAGCCATTTGCTTTATGGCTACAGCCACGTTGATGGAAATGTCGTGATACCACCTCTGCCAGACATTACTTAGCAGCTGCGGAGCAGGTCACTGCCTACACCACCAAGTGTGAAAATTGGTACTTAATGAGCCTGTTAGTCACATTGATGTAGATATACAATGTACACAAGCAGGACCAAACAACATCAGGCATAAATGGCACAATGAGCCACAGCAACCCTTGTAAGTAGCACCATTCCCACCCAGTAAAGCAGATATAGTTTTGATACATACATATATTGAGGAACTGAGCTGCCATTGTTTGACTCACAGCCGATCAAATTTTGACACGGCCCTTATTTGGTTTGCTTGCCTAAAATAACCAGAAGTCACTTCCATTTTTCCTGTATTTCAAAGGGCCTTTTCTGTCCTTTGAAGATGTTGTCTGCACCATGTTTAAATAAAAGAAAAAATGAATGAGCTTATTTTGATTGATTCATAACCCAGTTTGCTTCAATGATTTGTTTCCATGTTGCTGTGACAATGATGCTGCAAAACAATACTGATGCAGTTTAATCTTAACCAATGGTGATGTCTTCCATGTACTGCTCTAGTTCCCCTTATCAAACCCCTCAATGTAAAATCCAACAACTTATTTGATAAGTTGGTGCACAGGCATGGACCAATTACATGTCCAAAGATGACCTCACCTATGCAAAGCACAGCTTCTTATAATGAATCCTTCCAAAATCATATGCTGCATACTTAGTAATGGTCCCAAATATCTGAAGTGTTTTAGCCCTGCCTCTATGTTCTGATGTGATGTTGTTAACTCACCATTAAAAATAATATCTAGACACTTTACCACAGCTTGAATGATCACATCTCAATTGATATGCGCTTGCACAAATGATCTTTCACAAATGCTGGTTGAATTTCATTTGTCATGCTGCAGACAACTCACTGAATTTGCTTACATCAGTTAGCAGCAGGTCATAGTTACTATTGCCTTTGTACACCCCGAATGCTTCCAAATCATCTGCCAGCTTTAAAACATGCTGCCATCAGGACCATCAAAACCATGGAAAGTGCTGGGGATAGGGGGAGGGGGAGAGCCGTTCAGGAACATCAGATCTACAGAGAGAGAGCTGGGGTATTCCCATAGTTTTCTGAACTTTAATGTGGGCACAATAGGCATTAACTAAAAAGAAACCACCAAAAATGGCTATCTACCCCACAGAAATTTCTGCTGCCTACAGTTGCAGCCCTCAAAGTCATTGCTCTGTCCATTTTATGAAACAGTCAGAAATACCATGATGATTCTGTTAAGTTTCAAGTATGTTGTAAGGTAAATGATGCAGTCTGGCTAAAACCAGGACATTTTGCATCAACTTAGTTTTCATAGCCAAAATGCTTTGTTGCTAACTCTACATGATGGCACATGGTGTAGGATGGTAGCAGGTTACTAGCATACATGGAAGGGTGCATTCTAAGCTACGCCTAAGACAACTGAAAATGCAGCATCAGTTTGCATAATAAACTGTCAACATATTTTCACTCAAATTTGGGGCATGACCTACTACCCATTCATTTGAATGAGATCAGGTGGTGCTCATTTGCTGTCAAGGTTATTTGCATGATGTTTAACTTAATTTAAACTGTCTGCTGGATGGCAAATCCAGAATTGTGCACTTGGTATTATGTGGTAGCATGTTATCAATGATTGCATGGGGACAAGTTCCAGATCATGATCTGCGCACAAGTTTAGATGTGTATATATGTATGTACCCATCATGGCAACTATGCCACACATCTTGCTCATGCTGCTGTAACAGTACATACAACTGATGGCATACAGTGATCATCAAAAAACGGATAGCACCAAAAATAGCTTCAGCCATGTAAAATGACATCACTCTTTGTGACAATCAGAATTCCACTTTTGCTTTAGAGGCATGCGATTCAAAAACTGATTCAACCACAACCTCTGGAGTGTTTACATGGTTCACCTGATGTTGCAGAAGGTTGCAGTGATGCTTTGATGGTATTGCAGTCAGGCTGTGTATCTGGAAGACCAGAGATTTTTGGTTTGATTCCCCTGGTGCCCACCCTTCCTGCTCAAGTGAGATGCCCGTAATACCATAGAGCTTCTGCTACTGGATGCATTGCAACACCTAAGTTATACATGGAAGATGACCTACTAGCACATGACAGCAGTACACATAACATGACAATGCAGAGGTACCTGCCCTGGATTCCATTTGACCCAAGATAGGCACAGAACATATGTCAATCCCAATAGCCCAGTTGGTTAAAGCTCCTGCCTTTCACTTAACCAACTATAACAGTTCAGTTTAGTGGTAGCTTACTTCAGATGCTTGCCTTCTGCCCTTGTCTGGGATGACCACAGCTAAGGCCAATGCCTGTGACAGCAGCAATGCTACATATCAGGTAACATCAGAGAACAGGGTAACCATGCTGACTGTGCAGAGAGGGAAAGACATGCTGAAAATACATGGGGCTAAGAATAGGAATGTAACACACAAACCTAGGGGTATCATCAAGCAGCCCATAAACATCTGTAAGGACATATTTGTAGCAATGCATACCAGTTTGGGATATAACTTTTCACAAGGATTATTGGCTTTTAAAGAGGGTCTGAAAGGGAAAAGTCTTAGAGGTTCATGGCATTAGAAATATTACAGATATCTAACATGTTTTTGCTGGAATATAAAAGGCCTAATGGAGACCACCTTAAGCTCTTCACAATTGTGACATTAACATTAATGTTATATCATAAAAACCTAACCTTCCACAGAAAGAATAAAAAAAAGAAATTAGCCTGAACCAGCTAGCATACACTAAGCTTCTTTTTCAAGCCCACCATAGTAGCTCATTCATGTTATCATCATTTTTGAAGCACATCATAATAATTGCTGGCACAACTGTGCAAGCTTGTATAGCATGCTGGCCTTTACTCAATAATTACACAAGACAGCTCACAAACATCAGCAGCCTTACCTTGGTCTACCCAGGTTTGAGTTGCTGTATAGTTGGAACTACATAAGCAACTTTCTTACAAAGCAGTACCAATGTTCCAAGCTACAAACCCCTGAGGAGAACATAGTCTTTGCATTGTGCTCTGCTTACATGGGTTACAAAATTGGTTACAAAATGGGTTGTGGGTTACATGGGTTACAAAAACATTGATGACAGTTGAGGTAGCCACCCATTAACCAGCTGGGGACCTATACGGCTGGGCAGGCACTTGCATCCCTACATCACATACAGCAGAGCAGTCACAATCCGTTCCTCCCTCAGACCTTACCCATCGTGCGGGAATCCGCAAAATGAATTGCTGTTAGTTTCCTTCACAGCAGGAAACTTCTAACGTGCACAGCCCCACCAACGCTCCACTGGTATCATACGAGCACTCTCACCATTCCACACTCGTGTTCCCCCCCCTTGCCACTGGGCGCCGCCATTACTTTGAGCTTATTGCGCATGCGCCCGTTGGTGGAGCACAGCGAATGGCGTTCACGCCGCAGGCACGGATGCAGGGGAGTGTTGGAGTGAGCGGGCGGGTGGGTATGTGTGGCAAACGATCGGGGAAAGAATTTCCGAAGACAGAGAGTGGCGTATGGTGCAACATTAAGAGGAGGTGAAGAAAGCTGAACTGGAAGTTTCGTCAGAAACTGAAGAAACAGATTTGTTGTGCTTTGGAAACTAGCTTTCCGCTGAAGAGATGTACGATCGCCTCCGCTGCGCATTTGTGGTAGCTGGTCCAGAATGGTGACTGACGAGAAATGGTGTCCTGTCGTCCAGGAGAACGACGAAGGTGATCTGCTTGCATCCAGACATCGCTGAAGGTGTTCTCCAGGTACGGGCTAAGAAATCGAACTGAAATATGGCTTGATATTAGAGGAGAAGACGTCATCCTGATGTACCCGCACAACGGCCTGCTGGGCGTCGGGCGGCCATTGTTTCGGTTGGCGCCGTGAAGGGCAGCACTGGTGCAGTCTCCGCAGCCATATTGGAGAAATCTGCTTTTGCCTAACTGATGACATATGCTTGTATACGTTGCATTGTGTATTTTCATGGGTAAATGCATGCCATCCGTTAGGTCATGCGGTGATCCGTTATGGCATACATGCTGCGATCGATCGTCGAATGCCATGCGTGCGTCATCGTGAGGCATCATCGTATGCCTCTGGGAAACTGGAGGCATGGAGTTGGATTCCCCGCGGTGTCCACCTGTCCTGCGAAGATGAGAGGCTGGCGACGCCGTATAATGTCAGCAGCTGGGTGTGTCCTAAAGCCCAGTGACCACGACGGTCGTCGAGTGCGGGCGGGGAAGTGGGTAGCACTGACTGGTATGAAAAATCGTAGAGGAGGGTTTGGAGTCGGGATGTCGGCAAGTTTTGAGGGCATTATCCTACGCGACGGACCTTGTCAGGTAGTTTTAATGAATGGAGTGTCTGGACATATGAATCAAATCTGGACAAACCTGAACATAGCCATGAACAGAACAGCTCAGATGGACTGGGGGACGGAATGTCCCAAGGGGCTTATCCACAATGTAGCATCGCTGATGAATCCAGACGAGGCGCAAAATTTTTACCGAACCTTATTCGGTGGAAGGGGGTGGGGTTAAACTTTGTTTTGGACGTCAAATGGTCACTCATGATTTGCCACGCTGTTACGATCCCTGGAGGTGCCAGGACTCTGCACCGCTGATATGGATAGATGAGCGTTGTACTTTCCACGCCGTTAGACAGAATGGATGCTCGGATAGAAAGCCGGGTCGGGGCCTCCCCCTAATCGTACTATAACAGTATAGATGCTGAACAGAAACCCCACATCTTTTTTAAGGAATAAAGTCTGCAAAAGTCGTTTCCGTGGCGTATATCAAGTGGTGTCCTCACATCTGACGGAGTATGGGATTCTTTCACGTGGTTCATGGTTAGTGCGAATAACGCTAGAAATTTCGTGTACCCAGGTGGTTGACCCCTGAGCCCAGCAAGGGTGGGTCGTCTTCGAAGAGAATCATGTCGGCTAGAGAGAACATTGAAGCTGCTGCGGAGTTCCTGGTCTAATTGACGAGTTCAGGCGTCGAAGGGGCGCATTGGCGCCAAGGTTTTACTCCAAGGAATAACGCAGTACCGAGCAAAGCCTCAGCCGGACAACCACGGTTTTTTTAATGAAGGGCAATAAGACACCTCATGCCTACCAAGAAACAAAACCAAAAAATAGTGGATTACTAAGGGGGCGATAAAGACTTAAGCTATAGCATAGAATGAGGTGTATGTGATTGTGCGTAACTTGTCCACAACACAGCACAGCCCACTGGTTTCAAGAGGGCATGTATATAGGACTGGTTGTGGGATATCGGGCACCCATCTCCACGAATTGTCTTTTCCACCCAGTACGGTTCACCACTGTCACGCCGCCCCCAGAATGCCCACCGGGACACATGTCTCCTGAACTGCCTTCCCTAGTCTTACGTAGTCAATTCAGTCAGATGACGTGGATGGGGGTGTAGTTTGCTTCTTAGTTGGGCTCCAGCCCCCCCCTGCTTTGGGAAGAAAGTGGGCCAAATCCGGAAGAAGTCCGTGTGTGGCCTGTTACGGAGAGATTGATTTTGAGTCATTTTTCATTGCACAGCCCCCTCTACCTTTTTTTACGAAATGACGCCCCCTGGGCGTGGACTGCACCGAAATGGTTCGTCCTTTTAAGATATGTTGTTCGCATGACATATGCGCTGATCTTCTGTTGTTTGCTAAGCTAAAGAACAACATTTTGGGCTGTGATACACGTGATTGCTGCGGTTTAAATGAACAGGAGTTTGTCACTTAGTCGTGGTCATGGAGGCTTTATGACGCACTCAGCAGCTGAGGCCTCATCGCGTCGCCTGCCTCTCACAGTGGCACGAAAGTCGGTTCCGCGTGGAATCGTCCGCACCTCTTGTTTTCAACATACGCGACCTAACCGCGAAGCTACCGGCACCCCAGTTGAGCACACAGTTGGTCAATGACTAGGTGCATTTCTGGCAGGCTTATTTCCACTTGATGTGATGATAAAATACATTGATAATGTATTCCACTCTACTTAACTTCTTCTAGTGCTCCGGGAAGAGTAGTGATAATTCTACTGAGCGGGGGTAGCAGGCTCCATCCAAGTCGCCGTTTAACGATGACTATATATTTGGCTTTTGACACCCTATACTAAAGCCGAAAGCCGAAAAATAGCTGGACTATTAGGCGAAATAACAACGCGGTGACAATAACCTTGGATCTTACGTATTAAATGTGTTGGGAAGGGAAATATAACAAACCATTGAAGTGTCCTTATGAGCATTGCGTCGTGTTCCATACATGCTCAATAACAAACACTCGATTTTCGTTAAGGAGTTTGTGGTAATCATGTGCAGTCCAGGACTGCGTGGGGGAGGGGGGGGGGACGGGGACGGAAGGGTTAGATCCAACCCCCTGATCCCCGAAACCTGTCTCGGGAATCCATCGTGGGGTCGGAAATATTTACACGTTCGGAGAGCCTAGTATCCTCCCAAAAGCTGCTCATAGGTCTCTGAGGCCATGGTGTAGTCAACTCGAAGGGGTCAGGTGAAGGTGGGGCCATGCGAGTTTGAAGTTTAAGGTAACCGAATTAAGTGTCGCGGGACATATTTCCAGATTACTTTTTGCTCAGGTGCAGCAAAATTGCTCATGGGCGTGTATCTGGCGAAATGTGATCAGGTGTACGGGCCATTCGAAGCCATGTAGGACTTGGTGACCTTCAGTGGTTATGAACTCTGATGAACAACTTAGGCTTAAATAGGTTTATAGGCTTAAAATATACCGCATAGATGATCGAAACCCGCCGTTGAAATGGTAACCCCCTGATGTACGCATAACCATCGTGTTCATGATATATGGGGGTCTTGGAAACACATATTTTTGGTAAGTGCTTGACAATCAGCTGATGAAACCAAAATGTGGACTGGTCTCTGGGGCGGGGGAGATTATCCTCGCCCTCGACCGGTTCTGTGAAAAAAACCGTGTGAACCCACTCTTTTTTGTCAAAGTAAATGACATTGTGTTCAAAACCGTTAAGTCGTCTTTGTTCTCTGTACTTCTTTGACTGGTTTCATGATGCACTACGCCACTTTAACAGTCAGATGACAACAAGTTCAGTATTACCATGGAGCTGTGTTGTTTTACCATTTTGCACTGTGTGTGTGGGATTGGTAAATTGTCGCGATATGTATATGCCGCATATGCCTCCGAACCTTGCCTTTTTTGCTATGAATGCAGGTTTATTTTAAAATCACGGACTTTTTTCTATACATATGAGGTACCGAGTTTCGCGAGTGGTCGATGTGAAATTGACCTTTCGCGCATGTGTTGTTAACATACTTACTCTACTTGCAGGACGTTGTAATCACGTCCGTCGATTGATCAACAACTTCACGATGAGTAGCTTTCAAGGTAAGTTCGTAGCTCGTTTTTGTGCTTTTCTGACTGGCATCGTAAGGGTGCTTTTACTTGTTATAGCACGGTACCATCTTAGTGATGGACGCCACCGTTGATACCTGGGGCTAGCCAATCTGCTGTATCGCCTGGTCTGATCTGCATCAACAGGCATTTAATTTCGTGAATTTTTGCTCTAGTGAACGGTTTTTAATCGATAGCTGCTGATCAATCTTTAAGGTTCCAGTCAACCGTACGAGCAGAAGCTTGAGAAACTTCAGCGCTATCTACCCTTCCTGCGGAAGATGATAACGAAGTTGGAACGTACGCACGACCCAGCGAGGGCTGCGCAGTTGCAGAAGATGAAGCATTTGCTCGGAATTTTGACCGACAGCTCCCGGAAGTAAGTAGTAACCTATGCAGTGTGGCACCGGAACGCCGCGCTTCAAATGGTATGCACATATATGATGGGATGTGCTCTGACGACATCATTAATATTTGACGTCAGTGTGCCTTTCTTACTATCCATGCACGCTCACAAATTGGTGCTAGATGGCCAAACGATGGGCGCTAGCGCAAGCAATAAATTCAAGCGGCCTTCATGAGATAGTGTGTGCTTATGGCACCGTTCTAAAGGCATTCTGTTCCTCGGTTACAGTTGCAGAGCACCGCTCTTTATAATATCTGATTGCTATGCTACCTTGTGTTGCGTGCACCATTTCTTGGTGGTTTGTACTCTCGTTGTTCTGCCAATGAATGAGGATGTTAACTGTCTGAACCTAACAACCTGCGACATCCATGTGTTTTCAGGCTGAAGTACGAACTGTTGGTGAAGTGCGAGGAAGTATTACAAAAGCTGCATGACAAGATAGAAGGGGTAAGATGCATATCACACTTTGCGGATGCACTTTTACGTGTACCGTAGACTGCGGGGGGGGGGGGGGGGGGGGGCAGGTAGTGACAAAACTACAGCTGCTAGGGGTGTGCCACTCAGTTTATCGTGAGGGACTTTGTCCACCAAGACCGTTTCAAACGCTGTGT